GAGGAAGTGTTGACATGCAGCTTCCTTAATGGGTTAAACCCAGATATCCGGGCTGAGGTTCTGTTGTTAAGACCCTTGGGCCTGGAGCAGATAATGGAAGTGGCCCAAATGGTGGAGGAACGAAACATGGTAACTAAACAAACCCACTGGAATGCTGGACCTATTAAACCAAAGAGTATCCCCTTCCATAACCCAAATCCACCACAATCATCTTTCAAGAGCCCGACCCACACCCATCACTCCCAAACACGCCCTACGGTTCCTCTGAACCTCCCCCCAAATCGCCCAAATTCTTTCCCCAAATCATCCATACCCTACAAACGGTTGACCGACTCTGAAATACAGGCCAAGAGGGAGAAAGGCCTCTGTTATCGTTGTGATGACCGATTTACCATTGGCCATAGGTGCAAGAATAAGGAGCTACAGGTGTTGGTGATTCGGGAAATGGAACTCAACGACGAGGAACCCGACATTGCCATGGCCAGCGAAGGTGAGCCCAACGCCGGCGAGTCGGTTTATGCTGCAGAAGTGACCCCCGGTCCGGGACAGCCGGTAGAGTTGTCGATCAACTCAGCCGTGGGGCTGACCACCCCAGGTACTATGAAGCTAAAAGGGATGCTCGGCCAAAAGCAAGTGATAGTTTTGGTTGACAGTGGTGCTTCCCACAATTTTATTTCAGCATACCTTGTCCAACAGATGGGATTTCCATTGACAGGCACTGCAAGCTATGGGGTGGTCATGGGGACGGGCTTAACAGTAAAAGGGGATGGTATATGCCGACAAGTACCTCTGAAATTGCCGGGGCTGTTGATAGAAGAGGACTCTTTACCTCTTGAGCTGGGCAGCTCGGATATCATTCTGGGAATGCAATGGTTGAGGACACTAGGCAAAATGCAGGTGGTCAGTCACTGGTCCGCCCCGCCCAGCCCCCCGAGGTTTTTTGCAGAGATTCTGGAGGAGTTCACAACAGTATTTGAGGAATTTACTCAACTGCCTCCTAAGAGACTCCAGGATCATGCAATTAATTTGAAACCAGGGGCGGGACCAGTAAGTGTAAGACCGTATCGCTATCCCCACTTCCAGAAAAACGAAATAGAGCAGCTAGTTAAGGAGATGTTAGCAGCTGGAATCATCCAACATAGCACTAGTCCTTTTTCAAGTCCTGTGCTGTTAGTACGGAAGAAAGATGGGAGTTGGAGATTTTGTGTGGATTATAGAGCATTGAACAAAGCCACTGTCCCAGACAAGTTCCCAATCCCAGTCATCGATGAATTGCTTGACGAATTGAATGGAGCTACGGTGTTCTCAAAAATCAATCTCAAATCTGGTTATCATCAGATACGGGTGAAGGCCGAGGATGTCCCAAAAACAGCCTTCCGAATTCATGAAGGCCATTATGAGTTTCTAGTCATGCCCTTCGGCTTGACCAACGCACCAGCCACCTTTCAATCATTGATGAACTCAATTTTCAGAGAACAGCTCCGAAAGTATGTGCTAGTATTTTTTGACGACATTCTTGTTTACAGCCGTACAAAGGAGGAACACCGAGATCATTTACGAAAGGTCCTGCAGACTCTAGTAGAGCACCAGCTCTTTGCTAACAAAAAGAAATGCCTATTTGGGCAAGAGAAGATAGAGTATCTTGGCCACATTATATCAGCAAAGGGGGTGGCAGCAGATGAATCCAAGTTGTCAGCAATGAGGAATTGGCCACGTCCCCAGACACTTAAAGAATTAAGGGGATTCTTGGGGTTGACCGGATATTATCGACGGTTTGTGGAGTCCTATGGGAAGATAGCCTGGCCGCTAGCTCAACTACTAAAGAAGGACTGTTTCAGGTGGAATGACGCTGCAGAATCGGCCTTCGCAAAACTGAAGGAGGCAATGACAACTGTACCAGTCTTGGCTCTTCCAGATTTCTCGCAGCCCTTTGTACTTGAGACTGATGCTTCTGGACATGGGATAGGGGCTGTCTTGATGCAAAATCAGAGACCAATTGCCTATTTCAGTCAGGTGCTGCCCCAAAGGAGTCAGAATAAATCGATATATGAGAGGGAGCTCATGGCTATACTGGCAGTGCAAAAGTGGAGGCATTATTTGCTGGGAAGGCGTTTTGTGGTTAGAACAGACCAAAAAAGTCTTAAATTCCTACTCGGACAGCGCTTAGTAAATGTGGAATATCAGAAGTGGTTATCTAAATTGTTGGGTTTCGATTTGGATATTGAATACAAGCTAGGATTGGAAAACAAAGCCGCAGATGCCTTATCCAGGAGGGGAACAGCAGCCACACTGATGGCCCTTAGTATACCGAACACAATACAGTTAGAGGGGGTGATAAAAGCAGAGGAAGAAGATCCTGAACTAAGCCGAATCATATCAGCCATAAGGGTGGACCCTTCTTCCTGTCCTGGATTTGCTATAGTAAGAGGGGCTTTGTTGTATAAGGACAAGATCACCCTACCTAAAGGTTCTCCCATTATTTGTTAGCATTACAAGAAGGCCATGATAGTAAAATGGGCGGCCATGGGGGCTTCCTTAAGACCTACAAGAGGATAGTCGGGACTTTTTATTGGAAAGGTATGAAGAAGGATATTAGAAACTATGTGGCTGCTTGCGAAGTTTGTCAACAGCACAACTACTCCACGTTAGCACCTGCAGGACTGCTACAACCTCTGCCTATACCACAGAAGGTATGGGAGGACATCTCCATGGATTTCATAGAAGGGTTACCAAAGTCAGAGGGGATCGATTCAATACTGGTAGTGGTCGACCGCCTAAGCAAATACGGCCACTTCATTGGCTTAAAACATCCTTTTACAGCTCCGATTGTGGCTGCCATGTTCATCAAAGAGGTGGTTCGCTTGCATGGGACACCAAACTCAATCATAACTGACAGGGATAAGGTATTTATGAGCAAATTTTGGAGTGAGTTATTCCGTTTACAGGGGACTAAATTGAAGTTTAGTTCAGCCTATCATCCCCAAACTGATGGCCAAACAGAGGTGGTGAATAGAGGGATAGAGACATACCTACGGTGTTTTACTTCAGCTCGACCGAAAGAGTGGTTTCGTTTCCTTCCATAGGCGGAGCTATCTTACAACACATCATTTCATGTGTCTGCACAACTCACCCCATTCCACATAGTTTATGGACGAGAGCCTCCGCCTCTAATACGGTTTGAAAAGGGGTCGACACCTGTATCATCATTGGAGCAGCAATTGGCAGAAAGGGATGGACTTTTGGATGAGCTAAAGCTGCATTTGAGCCAGGCACAGCAACAGATGAAAAGTTCAGCTGATAGACATAGGAGGGAGGTGGAGTTCTCAGCTGGTGATAAGGTCTACTTGAAAATGCGACCCTATCGCCGCAAATCATTGGCACAACGCAGCAACGAGAAACTTGCACCACGGTACTATGGGCCGTTTGAGATTTTAGCTAAAGTGGGGAAAGTTGCTTACAGGTTGGAGCTGCCACCTGGTACCCGTATTCATCCTGTATTTCATGTTTCGCAGTTGCGAAGGGCGGTAGGAGAACATCATCTGCCTTCTATGTTGCCTGATAATTTGGGAGTGGATTGGGAGTTAATGGTTGAACCAGAAATTGTGTTGGGAGTCAGGACTGCTTCGTTGGGGACAACTGACTGCTTGGAAGTGTTAATTCAGTGGAAGGGCCTATCTCCATTGGAAGCTACTTGGGAGCCATTCAGCCTCATTGATCAACAATTTCCGGCCTTTCACCTTGTGGACAAGGTGACTGAATTGGGCGGGGTAGTTGATAAGCCTCCAATTCAGTATACATATTCTAGAAGGAACAAGAGGAGAGGCAGTAACTAATTCTGTTAGGTGGGGGTGTGAGGTGGCCAAAAAATCTGTTACAAGGGCCTATAAATAGAATAAGATGGATAGATGAAGATATCAAGAAATTCAGTGAGTGGGTCATTTAGGGAGAGTCTCAGTCCTCTCAATCGGTCATTTGTTCTTTTCCTTTACATTTCCTTGTAATTCCAATTCCAGAAATCAATTCAGCATTTCCTTTCATTTCCTGTGTTACTTCTCTTGTTTTCCTTGGCACTTGGTAATTTTTTTACAGATTGGAATCTATCAGCGACCCACATAATCTGCCCATTTGGCATAGATTCACATCACAGTGCTTCAATCACATACGAAAAATTGATTTGAATTTTCTTATTTCTTCCTTGATTTGTTGGCTGAGAAGCTCAAAGGAAGGTTATGGAGAGAACTTGATGTGCTTAATTTAGTGTGAACTGGGTAGACGCGACATTTTTGTTCTAAGCGGTGAGGGCATAAGGCCTTGGTGAATTCGAAAACTTGTTTTTGGTTAATTGTGGAGAAACTAGAGACAGCCTGTTCTTATTTTGGTGCCCCCATTTGGCACAATATTGATAAGGTCTCAACATATTCCCCAAGTGCATTAAAAAATAGAAAACAAGCCCTCAGTAAGTAGCTAATGCAATTTATCTCAGAATTTGGTGTAATTGCAATTTAGCCCCCGTTTGGCCCCCAATTTGTGGTAATGAAAATGGGTAGAATAGTGTTTTTTTTGAAAAAATGAGTGGTTAAAAAAGATGGAAATTTTTTTGATTTACGTGTAATATTATTTTATAGAAGATTGTATAGTTGAAAATAGGAGAGATAAAATTGGAATGTAATGAAATGGAATTTAATGGGGGCCAAACGGGGGCTAAATTTGCATGGCATAACTAGAGCAATAGTGGAGATGACCTTCTGGTCTTCTAAAATGTTAAATATTTGTTTTTTCCTTTGAAAATGCTGGTAGGAATGTATTTTAGTCTTTGTTTTTTTCTGTTTATTTTTTACTACAGTACAATTTTTACAGAAGTTCAAATATAGCTGGCTGGCTTACATGGGTGATTTAGGCGTAATGCTTTCTCAATTTGATTCCCTTATAATTCTTTCTCCAAAAGTTTTTGAGCATATAGTATGGCGTTAATCAACATGCAAATCGATCCTATTTTGCAGGTAAAAGAGGGAGGCTATGATTACAAGGTGAATGAAACTGTCAATGTTGTGACTGCAAAAACTTCAGAGATTGGTCAGAAGACATGGGGACTCATGAAAGGGGTAGTGGCTTTGGCTTCACAGAAGGTTGAGGAGTACAATAAAGAAGGCTCTGACTGGAAGAATGGCTGGCAACAAAATGAAAACGAAGGAAGTGGTTACTATCAGGAATTTGGACAGGAGTCTAAAGGATGGAATTCTTCAGCTGCGTCTGGTCGACAATTTAACTCTGCCAGTTCTGGTTCCTGGGATGATTGGGATAGCAAAGACAGTAGGAAAGAAGATTCATCACAGGGGTCAATATCCCATAATGGGCATAGCTGGGCAGGCTGGGATGATGTTAAAGATGATGGGTACGATAATTTCTATCAAAAAGCATCTGGTCACAAGGCTGCAGGTTGTAATGGGAAATCTGAAAACAAGTGGACAGAGGGTGGTTTTCTTTAAGGTTAGCATGCCTCATTCCAATATTTTTCTTTTATTTATTTATTTTTCTTTTTTGTCGAATTTTTTCCCCTTCCCAGTTGAACTCTGTAGAGAACTTTTCAGAAGGTTGCATGTTGAAATAGTTTATAACTGTAATATGTCCTATAGTGGGCTTGCAATATGCACAAGGAAGATAGAGACTATTTCATGTTGAAAGGAACATCTATTTTTTGAGTTTTCTATATTATAGACTGCATTTTGTTGTAATGACTTCAATTGCTATTTAACGTCTTAGCATCTTTACTGTGATCGTGTTAACTCAGCTACTGTGAAACATTCACCCTTTTCCATTTGGTTTCCCATGGTTTGTAAATATTCTAGATGGAATCTGTGTATGGTTCAATAATCCATGTTTGTCCACAGGTGATTGCTTGGATGTTGGTGCGAAATTGATGGAGATCCATATGGATATTCTTTGAAGACTTATGTAATCTAGATATTCATTTTAGGCAGAACAGTAAGAAATACTTTGGAAGATATTTTGATTAATTTACTCTCTTTCCTTTCTGTAGTTATTTGTTTTGAATTATGTAATTTTCCATGCTGTTGGTTTTATAGATTTCCTTCTTTACTGGAGATTTCAAGTACAAGTACATGTCGGGTATTAGGATTCTTCAACTATATATAGACTATTGAATTAAATTGATATTTAAATTGAAGTTCCGTCCCCAAATCGTCTTCTTCTTCTTTCTTTTCCTCTACCTTGTCTCTTCTTTCCCTTCTATATTCTGTCATTCTACATAGTGGTTGGATCAGTTGGCATCAGTGATGTGTTACATTTCTGTATGCACATGGAACGATTGTGCACAAATACCTAGAATGTATAGTTCTCCATGCAAATAAAATTAAGGTATTATTAAAAAAAAGGTTGAACTCCAATTTTGAGGACTCCTACTGCCCCGCTCATAGAGCTTTGTGAGCGAGGTAAATCGCGGGATATGTCCCAATAGGTCAGGGAACAAGAATTGCTTGTACACTGCGTCTACAAGGAGTTCAATTCTATGTCTCAGGAATTGAACCTTCACACTGCGACTGCCAGCAAAGCGTGAGATAATTTCACTCCTGTCCTTTACACCATTGGGCTGGGCCCCGAGAGGCAAATTAATGTATTACTTATGTCACATTTGAAGTACATAGGGTTTCTCTTTACCAGTTCCATATTGGCATGAGAATAAAATTATGATCACAGTATTCTTCAATTAATAAATCTTTATGGCTTATGTTGGTAGATGGTGAAAAAGTCTTTGTTAGGCAGTCATAATTCAATTATGAGTATAAATAAATAAAATATATATATTACAACGTGGTTTCTGTGGTGGTGATGCGCCATTTTAAGTTCAATAGCTAAGAGCTTAAATATCACAAGGAAAGAGGAAATTAATTTGGAGATTGAAATCTAGGATTCACATAATTTTGATACTAGGATCCTCCGAAATTTTGTATTATTTATTTGACATCTGGGCTGAGGCTCAGCCTAAAAGCTATTATTTCCTTGGACTAGAATCCACAGTAATTTTATTTTGCTTCACAGGCTGCGATGCTGTGAATCACAAATTTGTCACACACTTATCAACTGAGCCATCTTTCTTGTTGAACATCTTCAAATTTAAACTCTTGTCGTCATGGGTAGAATCATGATGTTGGATCACAAGCACAGAACACTTGATTCCATTACCCGAGGAGGCTAACAAGCCTCCAATCGGTCCCAACTCGTTGTATGCATTGTGGTGATTGTCCAGCTCAGCCACCATTGCTGGTGGAAATCTGCCTTTCCCGACCACAATGAGTTCGAATTCACTGCTTTGGGCAATTGCTAAAACATCCTCTGCAATATTTTCTGTTTCTTTCTCAATATACTCTGCAATCCCGTTGCAGCTACCTCTAAAGTCTGCTAGCACAGCCTCATCATGCTCCTGTTTTAATCAGTCAAATGACATTACAGATTTAGCATAGTTTCGAGAAGTTACAAATGTTGGTATGATCTTAAAGAGTATTTAATAGGGAAGAAAAGTCAACCATTTCCTTTCTGTAATTCATAGAGGCAGTAGAGTTGTTATCCAGTTCAACAGAAACTTCTAGTGAGGTCGACTGAGTTTTGATGTTACCATCCGATCCAGCATTAGCAACGAACTTAATGACGGTAAGTCTCACTTCTGGATTGTCTACCATTCTGCCACCAAACTTCAGAACCTTGCGACTGTCGGGGCCACCGAAAAAAACTACACACACTCTCTTTAGCAGATCCCCATCCCTAGGACTTCTTTGGACCCCAAGCCCAAATCCACGGTCTATAAGCACACCTACTGAACACGGTGCATTTATCAGAACCTTCTCATTGACATCTCTCCAACCATGGCCTACATTTATCTCAACGTCTTGATCACCATCTATCTTCCACTGTTTGTGAAAGGGCAGGATGATCATTGCTGCCCTTTTCTTTTCTGCTATATGGCAGATGTCTTCGTGCATTATAGATAATGTTGAGATTGCGATTGTTGGCCGAACCGTGACTCGACCTAGTTGATTGTATGCTTCAAAAGCTGCTGCTCTCTGTTCACTAAACTCACCCTGGTGAAAGCGACCTATGCATGGGATGCCATTCTTTCTGGCACGTTGAACCATAACTATCGAAGAAGATCGATCTGTGAGTTCAACTAGCTGCATAACATACAGCTTTGTTATGAACCTTCGAGTGGACCTAGATGACTTGATAAGGTTTATGAGAGAGGGTGAGTTTCCTGGTCCCCGAATACAGGCTAAGATACGGAGCTCTGCATCTGTCCCTTTGGAATTTGACAACTTCTTCCAAAATTCACACCCACCAATAGCCGGGAGTTTGTGTTCTGGCTTGTATATGGCCATAACTGTTGGAGTTGTCATGAAGGTGGTGAAGAGTGCCATCATGACCAAAATGGCAAACATTTCGTCATTGAGAACCTATTAAAAAAGAAGCCACATCAAAGTCTCTGTGTATGGCACTATTATTATAATTTATGAGATCACAATGGATGGGTAGGGTATACGCAGTGCTAATGAACTCTTTATGAGTTTGTACTGTTTCTGTTTGGTCCACGCATGTTGAGATCCAATTTATTTTAATGCATGTCTCATGTGCCATATAACGAATCATATCATGAGCTAGACGTTTATAAGATATTTCTATTTGTTTATATCACACCCTTTCTTGATTCCTTATCTTCAGGTAGAATTGAGTGGAGAGAGAGGATTCATTTAGCTCTATGATAATGGTAGTGACATTTTCTTTAACATTTTAAGGTGCATGTCAGAAATTACTTGTTCCATCACTGGAAAAAGGTGATTTGGGTAATATTCCACAAGCTTTTGCAAATGGAAAGATTTTATTCGAGTTGAAACTTTTGCAATAAGAACAAGCTTAGAGAATATGAGGAAGCCTTTTTAGGATATATTAATTTGAAATAATAGCTTTAGGGCCCTGAAAGTTGCATTAATCTTTTGGGTCCAATTTAAAGTTTGTTGAAAATATGAAAGTGGGATATTAAGTGCATGTTTGGCAAAGTTTCAAATTTTTAGCAAGTCAAACATATTTTTAATCTACACATTTCGTATGACTAACAACTTATTACTCATTTATTATTCTAACTTTATGTTAAATTCACAATTTAAAAGCACTTAAAAGTATGATCAAGCAAGACTTAAAAAATGTAAGTTAAATACCAAAGTGTGGTGAGTGATGGTATTGTTTCATTGTGACACTAGATGCATGTTGTGTGAATATCATGTGCTGGATGCATGTATTGCCAACTTTTTTACGATATTCTTTGAAATGCCTTTTTAAGTCATAGTTACGCTTCCTTAGGCTCCACTTGACAAGGCTTCTTAATGTCAAAAGCTGCTTCTTAAATTAAGAAGTTGTTTTTGAATATGTTTAGATAATATTATGAATATGTTTTGTCTAGAAGAGTTTTTAGAGAAAGTTGATCTAAGGTAATTTCATAGTAAAACTCTTCCATAAGAAGCAAAAGCAAAAGCAAAAGCAAGAGCCTTGCTAATGATTTATGATTCTTCCACCAAGAGATTTTATGATTTTGTTATTCTTTTATTCACCAAAGGAGAAAATAAGCATATGACAAAATAAGTAGCTATATTATTTTTCAAGCGGGTTTGGAATTTAGAGGGAAAAACATAACTTAAAATTGTAATTATCTTAATGAAAATCTAATGTTACCTTCTTTTCTCTGCCAATGTTGAGAACAACTAACTCCACCAATCCCTTGGTGTTCATCAATAAACCAAGTGCTAATGATTCCCTCACCGGAATAGTACACAGCAGAGCCACCATGAATGTTCCCAAAATCTTCCCGGCGCAGGCGGAGGAAATAACCACCGCTAAAACTCCCCACGCCGCTGCCCCTTGTATCTTACCAACATCAGTCTTTAATCCATTTGATGCAAAGTATAGAGGCAAAAGAAGCCCAAAAACAAAGTCCTCAATTCTTTTAATCAATCTTCCTGCCAATTCTCCCCTTTTCGGTATTATCAGTCCAAATATGAATGCCCCAAATATTGCATGGATTCCTATGAGATCAGTCAAAAACCCGGAAACCATAACTGCAGCCAAGGTTAAGCATATATAGCCCTCGTCGACGATGTTATGATCAGACGAGCACTTTATTGCCACCCAGTTCATCACTGGCCGGACAACGACTATCATGAAACCGATAAATGCAAGGCCAGATAGAAGAACCCAAATGGAAACCAAGGGGCTGTGGGCGCCACCGGCCAGCGCCACGGCCAGCGCAAGCAAGATCCATGCTACCACGTCGTTGAGGGCTGCTGCAGCCATGGCGGTCTCCCCAACTCGAGTCGTGAGAAGTTTGAGCTCGGCTAGAATGCGAGCCAAGACGGGGAAAGCGGTGATTGAAAGAGAGACACCGATGAACACGAAATACTCGGCATATCCTATTCTATCTGACATCTTTATAGCTTTTCTTAGTAGGAAGGTGACTCCAATGCCGAAGATGAAGGGAAGAGATATACCTGCAACGGCTATACCTAAAGCTTTCTTCCCGCTCCTTCGTATCGCGTTTAAATCGAGTTCGAGGCCTACAAGAAACAGAAAGAAGAGAAGTCCCATACTTGCCACAGATTCAAGGATTGGAGTGCTCCATGATGGGAAAACCCAGTGCGTGAAATCTTTGTTTCTGCCAAGTGCTGATGGCCCAAGAATGATTCCACCCTACACCAAGATTTTGCCATTTATAGACAACAAAGATAATTAGTAAAAAGCAAATGAAAGAGCTGCACACATATATAAAAATTGGTGAAAATAACGTACAACTATCTCGGCGACGACTTTGGGCTGGCGAAGGGGCTTGAGGAAGAAGGCGACGGCACGACTCATGAGGATGACTAAGGTGGTTTGAATGATCAACAAGGGAAATGCATATTGAAGTGGATTTTCTCCTTGCCATATTCCATCTGATGAGGTTTTGATGGAGGATGCATTGAATGCCATGACCAAGAAATGTATATGCTAATGCTTTTAATTAAAATCTAATGATCTGGTGTATATATAGAGGGTGGGGGGTGGGGTGACCGGGGATTGGAAGTTGTGATTCTATGATTGGATTCTGTTGTGGGTTTCCTTGTCAAATGATTATGTATCAAGAAAACAGACGAGCAATTTTCAAAATGGGAAAGATACTAAGCAACTTTCATATCCAAGATCGGGACAAGTGACACGACTGGGGTAACGCATGTGGTGCTGAAGTTTACTCAAAGGGCCACTATTAAACATTAGAATGTGAATTGAGTTAGGAAGATTCTAGGGTATTGCGGCAAAGTTAATTTACTAACAAAGTCAACAAGTTAATCGAGTTGAAGTTTGTCCAATTAATATATTCTTGAGTAATGCTACTAAGTTAATATATATCCACACAAAGTCAGCGAGTTAATCGAGTTGAAGTTTGTCCAACAATAGCCAACACTAGTAATAATTCAGTACAACGAAACACTTAAGGTTGGACTATCGAGACTTGTCCAACAAGAAAGTCGGGATAAGAGATGTTTGTCTTCGTGCTTCACAATCTCACAGGATATGACTGAATGAGATAGAATTGTATGTTATCCACAAGAAAAAGCAACGTTTGGCTAACCTTAAGAACTCATCCTTTCACCTATTCCACAAAAGACTAATCTCATCTTCCTTGTTTAACCCTGATGCTACCAAAAGTCGTACCTGAGCAATTCTGGGCTTGACGACTGGTGACGAGCACGAACGTGTTCTTACGGCACCTGAAACAAAGGCGTGGAGGTGTGTCCTCGTCGCCCCTCCGATGCTTAAGTTAGAATATGTGCGTGAGGCTATGGACTGAAAATTGTATAAAAAGAGTACCTGAATGATGAGGTGAAACCATGTATTTATAGTGTCAGGTGGTTTGAACAATTGGGGAATCTTCATCCCGTAGAATCCTATCGGAGGTGGATGTTTGACATGCATAACAAGTGTAGGATTGGTACAAGTTTAACAACAATAGACTCCTCTTACAATTAGAAGTCTTGTGGGGTACCAAGTGTTACACGTCACTGTTGTAGGAGGACGTGGTATCGTTGAGGTAAAAAAGCATGAGGACACGAATACCGAGGACTCCACTTCCCGACCTCATGGTATGATTAAGAGAAGTCGAGGATACACTCCAGTCCTCAGGAATATGACGACGAATATATTTTGCCCACAGGTTCGGGGGGAGTCATCGGGAATATGTGGTCGAGGTAAACATATGGACCATATCAGTGGCCCCCGTGCATCCATGGTCGAGGTTCGAGTGTGGGATGCACAGGTGAAGATGACCCTCGTGCAAAGAAACCCGAGGTCCAGTTCAGAGATGATATCAGCCCTAAAGTGAAAGGCGGTTTAACTTTGGTTACCCCGATGATCGACACGTGTCCAGATCCAACGGTCCAAGCCGGACGACCCTTGGGTTTTCCACAGAAGTTTATAAATACCCCAGTCACTTTCCATTTCTTACCATTTTACCTCTCTGTGAATTTTTCAGAATCCTCGAGCTTGGGCATTTTGTGGGTTTTGGGTCGTCGGTATTAAGGTAAGAGATCGAGAACTTTGAACTTTATTATTTAAGAACACTTCTGGTAGGATGTCTAGTGAGTCTACCTCGTCGTCATCCTCTGGGTCGAGGACAACCCCAGAGAGTTTAGGTAGGTCGATAATCCCTGTAGCCATCCCTATTTATGCACAACCTCGAGCAGAAGATAACTCGACGCTTTTAACATATCCTGACCAACCCTGTACCCTTAAGGAGCACCTGGCCATATCGACGGCTAGAGAGCATGGCATAATGCCGAGCTGCGACATTAGAGTACCCGGGGTAGGGGATAGGATGGCTATAGCTCGAGATGGGGAGTTTGTAATTTTTAGAGATTCTTTGAAAGGGGGATTTAGGTGGCCCCTGCATCCGTTTTTTATGTCTTTATTGGTGGAGCATAACATGAGCCCGGGGCAATTAGTGCCAAATGGGTGGAGGATGCTCGCTTATTTCTTCATCGCCTGTAGATACCTAGGCATTACACCATATCTCGACCTATGTAGAATGGTCTTCGACCTCAAACAGTTACCCCAGTATACATGCTTTGCCTACCTTTCTACCGGCGAGGTTTTAGAATCCCGAAGATGCCCAGTTCCTTAAAAGGGTGGAAGGAGAAATGGTTCTACGTGATTCCTCAAGATATCGACCTTCCATTCAAGTCTCGATGGGGATTTCCAGATACGTCGAGGTTTTGTGAGGGTCAGGCATACTTTGAGAGTCTAGAGAGGGACAGGCAGATGTTAGAAAATCTCGAGCCTCTGGTGTTTGATATGGACGACATCCTCGGGGATGACGTTCTCGATCGTGCAGACATTAAAGGCCTCGAGGGTAGGACATGTACATTTTTTCTTAAATTTTTTGCTTATTTATATGCTCGTTTCTAATATGTCGTCGATATTTTGCAGCAATGACTTTTGATCCAACTGCTTTGCGACAGGCCGTGCAATCAAAGTCGAGGGCTCCTCAGATTCGAACCCCTGGGCAGAAAAGGGGGAAAAAGAGGCCTCGAGCTTCTGGGCCTAAGCAACAGAAAAGAAGCGGGGCAGGAGAGTCCTCGAGGCGCAGAAGCACGTCGCCTGGAGGCAACACTCCTCGATCTATTCCATCTCGCTCTCTTCCGCCTCCACGGGAGCATCCGGTAGTGGATCTCGACGAGGATAATGTTCCCTCGGGCACTGAAAACGTCGAGAATACAGGGCAATCATACTTGATGTCGGACCTTGTCGACAAATACCGACAAAGGCTCGGGTATGAAGAGGCCGGCAAGGACCTCGAGTCATTTATATTCCAGGTGAACTGCGATTATAAGATTTATGGTCTTTTTATATCGAGGTTATAGCTAATGATAAATGTATTTGCAGGCTTTGAGTATAGCTCGAGGTGGCTTACTCAGGGGAATGGATGATTCCCGGAGGGTGATCGAGCTCCAGGAGGCAGTAGAAGCTCGAGATAAGAGGGTAACTGACCTTAAGGCTGAGCGTGATCTTGCGAAGGCTGAGCTTCGAAAGGCTCGTGATGACATAGGCCTCGTGAAAGACGAGGCAAAAGAATTGAAGACAGAGCTCGAGAAGCTAAAGAAATCCCTTGAGGTCAGGGTGGCTGAAGCTCGGGATGAAGCTGTTGAGGAGTTCAAGAACTCCGAGGATTTCAACAGGCTGAAAGGCGACTATGCAATGGGCTCATATTTCCATGGCCTTAAGGAGGCTCGAGCATTTCTTCGATCGAAGCCTGATGCGAAACCCGAGGAGCTGAAGGCAATCCCGGAGGTTGCGGGAGACCTCGAGCTTTCGGAGTCAGAAGAGGGTACGCTCGACGACGAAGGGGTCGACCTTGATGATGACCTCGAGGATGGTCAGGAGAGTCCCGGGGTCTAGATGTAGTTTTTTTACTCGAGCAAAATTTGTAACTTTGTCGCCAGCCAAATCCGGCATTTTTTGCATTACTTTTTATTGAGCACTTATTAATACAATCTCCATGTTCGATACTGTTTTGCCCGAGCTTTTACTTGAGTTGATCTTTACTGCTTTTCAATATATTATGCTCTCGATGATAATATAACGACGTTACATATTTTTAATCGACGATTCAAATAGATCAGTTTACGCCTTTATAATCGACGATCATGATTTACGAACATCTATCTATGGCCACGACATAAATAGATGCGAAAAATGTCTTTCGAATGTTAATATTATTCTCGATGATATATCGACGACTACGTCATCGAATATTAATGTCGATGGTATGCAAATAATATCGACGATAATCTTTGAGGAAACTCAATGTAATCCTCGTGTCGTTGTAATTCTCACTGTATCGAGGATCATTCACCTTGCCTCAAAGCAATGCAAACTTGTCGAGGGCAAGACTCATATTGCTTGTTCGAGGGCAAGGCTTGGAGTGCTTGCTCGAGGGCAAGGCTTGTATTGCTTGCTCGAGGGCAAGGCTCGGAGTGCTTGTCGAGGACAAGGCTTGTATTGCTTGCTCGAGGGGAAGGCTTGGAGTGCTTGTCGAGGACAAGGCTTGTATTGCTTGCTCGAGGGCAAGGCTCGGAGTGCTTGTCGAGGACAAAACTTGTATTGCTTGCTCGAGGGCAAGGCTTAAAGTGCTTGTCGAGGACAAGGCTTATATTGCTTGCTCGAGGGCAAGGCTTGGAGTGCTTGTCGAGAACAAGGCTTAGGTAATTCCTGGATGCAAAATTAACGACGGGGTTTGTTATACCCGAAGCTTCGATTTTTTAATTCTTCGGACTGGACTTAGATTTATATCGTATCCAAGCTGCCTACGTACCTAAACGGGATCAAGCCGAACGTAGTTCATTACAAAAGAGAATTGAAAACATTCATGGGCACGCAGGCCCGCCAAACTAGAAATAAAATGCAAGGGCGCGCAGGCCCGCCAAACTAAAAATAAAATGCAAGGGCGCGCAGGCCTGCCAAACTAAAAATAAAATTCAGAAGAACTAGAAGAAAATCTCCGACATGACGTCGGGTATGCTACTTGTAATATATTTTCAGATTATCGGCATTCCAAGGCCTTGGAAGAGGTCTACCCGAGGCATCATTTAGGCTGTAAGACCCTCTTCTGATTTGCCGTATGACTTCGAATGGTCCTTCCCAAATTGGCCCGAGCTTTCCGAGAGCATGACCAGCAGCTTCGGCCTTCCTCAGCACGAGGTCTCCAGCCCTGAACCTCCAAGATCTGACCCGGCTATTAAAATGCCTTGCCACTCTGCTTTGGTAAGAGGCTACTCTTAGTGCTGCTTGTTCCCGAACTTCCTCGAGGAGATCCAAATGTTCTGTTGTATGCTCCAGAGAATCGGGCATCATTCTCCTTGGGCTGGGAAGACTGATTTCAACTGGGATGGTGGCCTCAATGCCAAATGCTAGCATGAAAGGGGTTTCACCCGTCGTTGTTTTATGCGAAGTTCTGTACGTCCAGAGTATTGAGGGGAGCTCCTCGGACCAAGAGCCTTTGGCATCCCCGAGTCTTGTCCGGAGGTCTTGCAAAATAATCCGATTTGTGACCTCGGCTAGACCATTGCTTTGAGGGTGCGAAACCGATGTGAGTCGATGGTCAATCCCTAGGTTGGTGCAGAAACTTCTGAATTGTACATTATCAAATTGTCGTCCATTATCAGTTATGAGGACCTTTGGTATCCCGAACCTACAGACAATAGATTTCCATACAAAAGCTCTAAGTTTGGGCTCTGAAATTATTGCCAAAGGTTCTACTTCTGCCCACTTCGTGAAGTATTCTACTGCCACTGCCATGAATTTTAATTGTCCTCTTGCCAGCGGAAAAGGCCCGAGGATATCAATTCCCCACTGCTCAAAAGGAGCCGAACATGTTATTGTTGTGAGGTCCTCAGCTGGAGAATGGATGACGTTGGCAAACCTCTGGCATTTGTCGCATCTTCTGACATATTCAGAGGCATTTTTCTTCATGGTGGGCCAGTAGTACCCATACCTTATAAGCTTGAATGCCAAGGCCCGAGCTCCTTGATGATTCCCACATACACCTTCATGAACTTCAGCTAGAGCTCGGGCTGATTCCGAGGGTTTAAGGCATCTTAGATATGGAAGTGTGAAACTTCTTCGGAATAGTACTCATCCAATCATGCAGTACCTAGATGCCCGAGATCTTATAGACCTCAAAAGTCTGGGGTCCTCAGGTAAATTTCCATTATTTATGAACTCTGCAATTGGGTCCATCCATGACGGCTCATGAACAATGTCCATGACCCCAACTCCCTGAGTGATGCTGGGCTCCATTACCAATTTCACGTGGACTGTCCTTTCTAGCCCATCGATTCCCATGAATACCAGTCTAGATAATGCATCAGCTTTACCATTATCAGCACGCGGAATTTTTATGATTTCGCAACTCTTGAATTGTCGCTGGAGATCATGAACTTTTAGACAATACAAACTCATCTTCTCCTCCTTGCTTTCAAATGTACCTTCTATCTGACCGACCACAAGCTGAGAATCGCTGAAAATTTTAAGATGCTCGAGCTCAAGATTTCGAGCAAGCTCAAGAGCGATAATGACGGCCTCATATTCGGCCTCGTTGTTGGTAGCTTCAAACTCAAACCTGAGTGCGCATTGAATATCCACGATTTTGTCAGGGCTCGTGATGATAACCCCGGCTCCGGAACCCGACGAGTTGGATGCTCCATCAACAAAGATGTTCCAAGTGTTTGAAATATGATTGTCCGAGTTATCCCCTGGCCCCCGAGGCTTTGGGGTAAGTTCTGCAATAAAGTCAGCCAAGGCTTGCACCTTGATAGATGGTCCGGATTTATACTCGATGTCAAATTCTCCCAGTTCAATTGCCCACTTTAGTAACCTATCGAAAACGTCGGGTTTTTGTAGTATATGCCTAAGGGGTTGATTAGTGAGCACAACTATGGGGTGAGACTGAAAATATTGTCTGAGCTTTCGTGCTGCCATAACCAACGCAAGAGCAAACTGTTCTGCCAAAGTATATCTTGTCTCTGCATCGAGCAAGACCTTACTGACGTAGTATATGGGTTGCTGGGCCTTGTTAACTTCTTTCACTAGCACGCCGCTTACGGCATTCTGGGATACGACCAAGTATAAATACAGAGTATCACCATGCTCGGGTTTAGTGAGGATAGGAGGGGACGCCAGTGTTTCCTTAAGTTCGTGAAAAGCCCTTTCACATTCCTCATCCCATTCAAAATTTCGATTTCCCCTGAGGACTTTGAAGAAGGGGAAGCATTTATCGGCTGCGCGGGACATGAACCTGTTGAGGGCTGCAACACGGCCTGTTAATTTCTGTACCTCCTTCTTGGTTTTAGGTGACTCCATTGATGCCAACGCCCTTATTTTGTCTGGGTTGGCTTCGATTCCCCTGTGAGTGATCATGAAACCCAAGACCTTTCTCGAGGCAACGCCAAATGCACATTTTTTCAGATTCAGCTTCATTCTGTACTTATGCAGCGTGGCGAACACCTCCTCGAGATCACTTACATGGTGGCCCACTTTCTTGCTCTTTACAACCATGTCATCAACACAGGCCTCAATATTTCTCTCGATCATTCCTGCAAAAACTTTATTGACAAGTCTTTGATATGTTGCTCCTGCATTTTTCAAACCAAACGGCATGACTTTATAGTAGTATATGGCAGAATCGGCCATGAATGATGTCTTCTCTTGATCTTCCTCGGTCATAAGAATTTGATGGTAACCCGAGAATGCATCCAAGAAGCTGTATAATTTGTGTCCCGACGTACTATCCACCAAATCGTCAATTCGAGGTAGGGGGTAGCTGTCTTTTGGGCATCCTTTATTGAGGTCTGTAAAATCAATGCAGACTCTCCACTTACCACAAGCCTTTTTTACCAGGACGACATTGGTGAGCCAGTCAGGATAATTGACCTCGCGGATGAACTGAGCCTTGATTAGTTTATTAATTTCTTCGTTTATGACCTGTCGTCGTTCCGGTGCAAACTGCCTCTTTCTTTGCTTAACTGGATGAGTTCTGGGCTTAGTGTTGAGCATGTGTACTACAACCTCGGGGTCGATGCCAGGCATATCATCCACCTTCCATGCGAAGACATCAATGTTGCGGGATAAGCAATCAATAAGTTCGGTCATGAGGGCCGTACTCAGATCTCGACCAACCCTGACTTTCTTCCCTAGCTCGAGCTCTATCTCCAACAGCTCCTCCACTGGAGCGAGTCTCCCGTTGTTCTCGAACTCTTCCCCCTTTTTTGAGATTTGCATGATGTCTGTCTTTATTTCCCTGACACAGGTGACATAGCATTGTCTGGCAGCAGCTTGGTTTCTGCGTACCACCCCGACACCATGACTGGTGGGGAACTTCATGGCGAGGTGGAAGGTGGAGACAATAGCTTTTACCTTATTGAGCAATGGTCTACCCAAGATGGCGTTGTATGCTATGGAAGACCGAACAATCTGAAAAGATGTAATCACCGTTATCTGTTCTTTTCCTGAGCCTAAGGTAAGCGGAAGCTCGACCACTCCCTCCGGAAAAATAATACCCCCCCAAATCCTTGAAGGGGGGTTTTCACTGTCTTCAGTTGTTCGGGAGAGATTCCCATTTTTGTGAAGGCCTCATGTGACAATATGTTAGCAGCACTTCCGTTGTCGATTAAGATCCTCTTTGCCTCAAAGTTTGCTACTATTGCAGAGATGACTAGGGCGTCATCATGAGGAAACGACACGCCCTCAAGATCCTTCATACCAAATGTTATGTCCTCGAGGTCATCATGATGTGCTTTCGGGGTTGTCATGTATTGTCGGGCATACTGCTTCCTCCCAGTGTTAGAATCTCCTCCTGATGCAATACCCCCGACAATGATGTTGATGATTCCAGCAGTGGGTTGACCATCCCGCTTTGCTTCAGGGGCTCTGTCCCGACCACCATCATTCTTCGGGCGTTTGTCATTACCAATGTAGGAACCCAGAAGTCCCCTTTTAATAAGGGCTTCAATTTCCCGTTGCAGGGCTTTACAGTTTTCAGTGGTATGTCCGTGATCCCGATGAAACTCATAGTATTTGCTCATGTCCCTGGACTGGGGGGGTAACCTCATTCTCGCAGGCCATTTGAGCTCCTTCATATCCTTGATCTCCATCAAAATGTTTGTTTTCGATGTGTTTAAACGTGTGAATGACGTCGGGGAAGCCCCTTGTCTCTGTTTACTCCGAGGTGGTTCTTGATGGGGGCTCGAGTCATGCTGTCTTTTATGCTCGACCCTATCGTGGGATGGTCCAACCTTCCTCGGGTTCAGTGTTTCCTCCATGTTTATGTACTTCTCTCCTCGGGTAAGAAGTTTGGTCACTGTCCTTGGCGGAGTTTTGGATAACGACATTTTGAAAGCCTCGCATTTTATGGCTTATGTGAGGGCAGAAACTGTTGCAGTTATGTGTAGGTCGGGAATCTGTAGTCTTTCCTTGTTGAACCTGGTCATGAAGTCACGTAGGGTCTCATTTTGCCCTTGTCTAAGTTGCATGAGGGAAGCCGCTGTCCTCCTGATGCGTTTGCTGCTTGCGAAGAAGGTGGAGAACTTGTCCGCCAAATCCGAGAATGAGGCTATGGAGTCGGACTCTAAGGTTGAGAACCAATCCCTAGCAGCATTCATCAAAGTATGCGGGAAGTCCTTGCACATCACCTGATCTGGTGCAACCTGTAGATTCATGACGTCCGTGTATATGTTCAGATGATTGATTGGATCGGTGGTCCCATCATATTCTTTGATCCTAGGATACTTAAATCTGTCTGGTAGGGAGAATGCCAATATCTCGAGAGTAAAGGGAGTGTTGGGACTGAATCTTGTCGTCCCTTTGTTGCCCTAAAGTAGGCCCGCCGTAATTCCTTCTTGAATAATCCTAGCGAGTTCCCCGGACTCCATGGTCACTGATCTCGAGGCCGAGGTCACATGTGGTATACCCGAGGCCCCTGCTCTGCCATTGTCAGGGACATGTTTTTGAGCTCGAGCTCGAGCATCTGCCATAAAACCCCTCTGGGGTGCTGGTGTGGGTGACGGATGCGAATTTCTTTGACTTAGCAGCTGAGTCAGTGTGGCGACCTGTTGTCTGAGCTCTTCAAAGGCTCCAGCAGTGACGACTGCCGGCTGGGGCTCTGGCACTTCTGATGATTCCTCTTGAGGAACAGGGATATCCTCATGAGGGGGTTGGTTGAACTTGCTGGTGGAAAACCTGAACGTGTGTTTACCATGGCTTTTGGTAGCGTTTTCCACAGACGGCGCCAATGATGCTACCAAAAGTCGTACCTGAGCAATTCCGGGCTTGACGACTGGTGACGAGCACGAACGTGTTCTTCCGGTACCTGAAAAAAAGACGTCGAGGTGTGTCCTCGTCGCCCCTCAGATGCTTAAGTTAGAATATGTGCATGAGGCTATGGACTGAAAATTGTATATAAAGAGTACCTGAATGATGAGGTGAAACCATGTATTTATAGTGTCAGGTGGTTTGAACAATTGGGGAATCTTCATCCCGTAGAATCCTATCGGAGGTGGATGTTTGACATGCATAACAAGTGTAGGATTGGTACAAGTTTAACAACAATAGACTCCTCTTACAATTAGAAGTCTTGTGGGGTACCAAGTGTTACACGTCACTGTTGTAGGAGGACGTGGTATCGTTGAGGTAAAAAAGCATGAGGACACGAATACCGAGGACTCCACTTCCCGACCTCATGGTATGATTAAGAGAAGTCGAGGATACACTCCAATCCTCGGGAATATGACGACGAATATATTTTGCCCACAGGTTTGGGGGGAGTCATCGGGAATATGTGGTCGAGGTGGGTCATCGAGGAATATGTGGTCGAGGTAAACATATGGACCATATCAAACCCCATGCCATATTACTCCATACGAAAATGGTCTCCAACCCATGGTTTGTAGAAGTTATTTTGCACACTGCTAACGTTGAATTATCAAAAATTGTATCATTTCGACGGTGTGCAAGATAACTCTTACCCATCATGGCCAAAAGATCATTTCTGTTACTCTGTATATCATATAGTAACATTTTTTTTTTCACAATTTTCTTTTGGAAGAGCAATTGACTTGATCGTTAGGGTAGAACTGAAATGTGAGGGCTAACATGCAAACTATCACCATTTTGCAGATTTTCTAGCCTCTTCATATTCTCCAAGTTGACAAGAGACGCTCAACAAAATTTGATGTCAACAAGCTAAAACTGAACAACTTTACCTAAGGATATAGCAAATTGTCCATCCTTCACTCCATCCCATTTGTGGCGGGAATTCTTCAATTAGTCAAGGAATCGTGACAGGGACGCGATACATGGTCTCAGCCCAGACTCTTATTTTTTATTTTTTTTATGTTTTTTAATTAAGTTGTTTTTAAAAAAAAGTAGATAATGAAACACATTTTAATACCGTCCCAGTCTTGACCCGGTCTACCTCTCAAAGTTACAAGAACTCCTATTTTTTAAGAGTTTTATGATATTTTCTATCTTAGAGCGTATGTTAACTCATATTTCTTTTTCGATCGTTTCAATTGTAATTACAATTCATTTGATAACCTATTTAGTTGATGAAATCATAAAACTCTACGATTCATCATAAAAGGGCATGGAAATGACTTTTTTCTGTATAACAGGATTATTAGTTACTCGTTGGATTTATTCGAGACATACTCCACTAAGTAATTTATATAAATCATAAGTCTTCCTTTCATGGAGTTTATTCCCTACTCTTGCCCCCTCCATTTTCATCCTTAACTTTAAATAATAATGATGTCTATCATCATGATGTTCATCAACAACCTATGTGGTAGTAGGTCCCTTCATGAATTAATAATGCCATCATCATCATGGAGAATTAAATGCATTAGACAATGAATGAAGGAACCTCCTATCACTTAAATGATAGAGCATTACTCAACGTTAAAACTAGTCTCATCTAAGTGGCTTGAAAACAATCTATCCAGCTTACAATCCCTAGTTTTATAGTCTAACTAAATCATTTGAAGATATTATGAATTTTGCCACACTATTCATGAGCATGCTTAGAATATAAATAAACGTCTCATCAAATTATTTAAAAGGTTAAACCATTAAAAAAGACATAATTATTTACTTAAATTTATTTTTAAGACTGGCATGTACATGTTGAATTTATTTTCTCATCGAATACGTGAAAAATCTAGTGTTTACTTGAATACGAATTATTTTAAACGTTAAGCCCTTGTTTGTTGCCCATTATTTGAAAAGTCAAAGAGTTTTAAATAGTATTTTTTTTGAGAATGTGTGATTAAAAAGTAAAAAAAATTTGTTTGTTTGTGCATAAAATATTTTATTGTGTAAATATGTGGTAGAGAATGATACTGTAATAAACAATTTAATATTTTAAAGAGTGCCAAACAGGGACTAAATCATTCCATTTATAATTTTGCGAATATGAAAGATTTTTTTATCTTTTTAACAAAGAAGAGTATCTTATGGAATTTCACAGTTTTTAAACATAAGATTTTGATTTTGCACTCACCTTTTCGATTGAGTGGAGTAATTATTCCAAAAAGGGAATCTTTGAATGCAAATACCAAAAATCAATGCTTTTAACAATTCTGCACCTCACTGCCTCAATATGAGAATCAACTTTGTAATTCGAATGTCCAATTGATTGTCACTAATTTTTGTTTGGAATCGAAGGTATCTGGAAATCGAGCCAAGCAGCTCATCGGCTCGAGCTCATATTTGGACGAGCCCGAGCTCGAGCAAAAGCCCAGAAAGGGAACAAAAAAGTCAAAAAAATAAAATAAAATTGAGCTCGTCGGCTCAACCCTTGAGCAAGAGCCGAGCTCGTGGGTAGATTGCAACCCTTATTCATTCCATGAATGTAAGAGCAAATTTAAGGTACAGTCAAATTGCTCACATAGCTGTCTCTATCTATAGAGAGAGGTGTGAAAGTAATAGCCTTATGTTATGATCGCCCCTAATGAAAAATTATTTTTCGATAAAATAGTTGTTTTGGTTTAGATAATTTGTCAAAAAAACTTCTTTCTCGAGTTATCAACCAACATTATCTACACGAAAAATTCAATTAATATAATCTAAAAAGAGAAAAATAAGACTGCTGTTTCTTTTTTTACTGTGTCACACATTTCCATCCTTCGGTAGATCAAAATTTGCTTGCAAATTGTTGAACAAATCTTGTATTTTTGTTTGATTGTGAAAAACCTGAAATCCCATCATTTCAAATTCAGAGAAACCCTGAAACTAATAAAAATTGGCAATTCTATTTCCCAAAATGAAGGGTTTTAGAAAAAAAAAAAAAAAAAAGAAAGATTGAAAAAAATTTGCTTGCAAATTGTTGAACAAATCTTGTATTTTTGTTTGATTGTGAAAAACCTGAAATCCCATCATTTCAAATTCAGAGAAACCCTGAAACTAATAAAAATTGGCAATTCTATTTCCCAAAATGAAGGGTTTTAAAAAAAAAAAAAAAAAAAAGAAAGATTGAAAAAAAAGAAGAAGAAAGAAATATAGGTACAGGAAGTGGACTGCGTTAAAAGAAGAAAGAATCATGCTTAGTATACAATATTTTTGACAACGTTGTTGACAGAATGTCACATTGCATGTTATCATTGGATAGTTTAAAAAACAATTTCTCTTTCTATCCAACAATTTTTTCCTACTTACTAACATTGTCAACAATACTATAAGAAAACATTGTACAAATGACATTTCACATAGAAGAATCATTCCATCAAAACTTGAGAAAGGATCAATTCAAGTTTCTAATCCTCCAAGCTACTGGGTCTGTATAACTCTATCCAATTTGATGCAACTAATTTGTTGTCTGCGTAATGGGACACTGACACCACCAAATCAAAAGTTAGCACTCAAGGCTGGCTATTGATTATAACTACACATTTTCAGAAGGCTGGCTAATGATGATAACTACGCATTTTCAGGATCAAATCAAAAGCATTTTCCATGGACATCCACTAAGGACTTTTTCCTTCAAATTTTCGTTATTAATGTGATTTAGAGTCTTGGATGGCAGCATATGATTTGAAATTTGGATTATCTTTGCATAAATTAATATTATATATTCAATTACGGTTTCATATTTTGATGGGTAATATAATATTTTGTGTTGCGTTTTATGCATCATTGACTATTTTTGTCATTAGAATCGAGTGACTTTTAAGAATTAAAAATATTTCACTTTTATATATTGGATGAACCACTCAATTTTAAGCATGATAATGTGGTTGATAAAGCAGCGATCATGTGGTTAGATGCA